ATACAAAAAATAAATTTTTATGAATTAATTTTTAGAAATTTCGTTGTTTATGAGTTTTTATAGTAAATTTTGCTTTTCACAAATTTAATGAATTAAAATTTAAATTGAAAGTTGATATTATCTACGTTTTAAACTTAATGAAAAAAACCACAAACCCAGTACAGTGTAATTAAATCTGCTGTTATAGTTTTATAATAAAACTTCCTTAGCTCGAGCCATTTGAAATGTTACAATAAAGTTTAGGGTAAAAAGAGGGCAAATATAAAAACTAGATAAATAAAAATAACTTTGAACTAAAGAGAGTTTCAGGGAGCCCCAATAACTGTAGTTTGGTAACTGTTACCAAACCAATAACTGTAGTTTGGTAATTGTTTCTACTTTACGTTATAATACGGCATTTTCCTACGTACTTTACATAATATTACGATATCATAATTATTAATATCTACTAATTCAAAAATTTCATTTTAAAATTCAATAAATTATTAATTTAGTAACCCGCATTGTGTATTTCTGTTACATTGGAACATTTTCCGAGAAAATGAATATTATTTTTGAAAATCTAAGCTGTTATTTTGTACATTTTCCAAGAAAGTACATATTATGTGCATTAATTTTTTAAAAGCTTACAACTCTTATACTGAACTAAGCGAATTTCTTTTTAAGTTCAATTAGTTGAAAAATTGAAATGCATCATAAAATTCATATTCCTTTTATTAATTTAAATATTAAATGACTCCCTCTGAGTATTGATCGTAAATTCTTTGAATTTATTCTTAGAGTCTCGTTACACTAAAATATTCTGGCGTGTATTACGGATCTAACGTCTATTTGACTTATTTACCCATTCTCTATGTCGATCTGCTATTTATGAATTCCATTGAAGAAACTTCAACTCTGAAATTATTAGTATCCTATAATAATCACTAAGTTAAATAATAACATTTTGTTATTTGAACTTAAAATACATATAAAAAGTGAATATTTCCAAAAAAAAAATTTTCCTGGAAAAAATATTATTCTTTTATTTTTACGAAAAAAGTATGTTTTTGACCTTATTCCACTCTTTTTTTCTAAAAACTTTTACTACATGCTATAATAAGTAAAAGTTTTTTTTTTATATAGCCGTATATACCAACAAGTGAGTGTGTGCATCTTTTATTTTCTTATCAGACAAAGAAAGTATTTCAACAATTTGTATAAGGTGTGTTTTGTTTTGAGATGATGTTTAGGTGTGCGAATGACAAGACAGTAAATATAGTTAAAAAATCAATTGTTTAAATTGAAGATAAGATATACAACATAAGGTATAAGAGTTTTAGCATACCAAAAATAGAAAAAATTGATAATAGTGTTCATTTGCTTATCAACATTTAAACAAATAGTCTAACAAAATTAATTTAAAATGACTGGAAATGAGTCAGTCATCCGTTTGAGGTGAAATGTATACCTTATGATGTGATTATGAGGTGAAGTGTATACAAGTAATGTTAAATATCATAAAATTTTTCAAAGAGTAATTAAAATATATTTTGATTATTGGAGTTTAATTTGCCTTCACCCACCTTGTTGATGGTGTTTCACATACTAACGAACAATAACAATTAAACGAGCACTTCTTAAGAATATATACAAAGAGATAAAGTGAGATTTAATTTTTTGGTAACTTATAGAAACAAGTAAACACCACATGCAACACTTGAACCTCTTTTGAAGAGGTATTGCAGATTCAAATAAGAGCATTTGAAAAATTAGTTTTCATTCATAATTTAGTATGGATCTTGCTGAACTATTTTCTGTAACCGTTATAATTTTACTGGGGTATCCTGCACTAACTAGAAAGCTCCTATCAAATACCAAGCGCGTATGAAGTATATTTTGCTGAAATGATAAATTCCTTATGGTCGAAAACTATACGCCTCCGCAGGAACGTTAGTCACTTGCTACAGAATGTCAATTACACTAAATCTAGTCCTCCGGTTCCTTCACTTAGTATGATTTTGCATGTGACATATGTCAACATAATAGAACAGTAACTATATATAGGTTATTTAAATATTGAAAAACAAGCTTCAGCTTGTGCATATAACAGTTTAAACCCGGGAAGAAGCAAATAATTATCATATGCCCCTGTTCGCAGGAACCCAAAATTGGATAACTTTATCTTTTCTATCCAATTACACTAAGGCCTAAAAGTACTGCTATATTGAATTTGAAAATAGTAAATGGCATATGTGGAACCCCCTTATACGGAAATTTAAAATGTTAATTCCATAAACGTCCTCAAAATTCTGTTCTTATTAAACTTCACAATAATATAATTGAATTTTTCTAGTAAGTTCAAGATAGAATAATATTATAAACGTCATAGAAGGAATGTAATATTATAAAATATGCAAAATATTTATTATTTTATTAAATCGTTACAGAAAAGAAATTTGGCATAATGATTGATTTTGAATATGGAAATTTGACAGTGGAAAAATACGATCTAGATTGCAATTGCAACAATTTATTTATTTAATGCCAATTTTTCAAGTTTTATATTATATTCGCAATATGTGTGAATGTTTCTTTTCTAAAAATACTTTCAGTATATGTTATGGTTTTACTTAAGTATTATATTAAAATTATAAGTTTTCCTTCAACTTCCGAAAATTTATATACGAGTATGTGTACATAATAATGATGAATTTTTGAAAATTTTAAGAAAAATTAAAATAAATAATTAAATTTATTTCTGTTGACACCTGCATTTTATTAGAATTTTGTGAGTAAATGAGTATATGGAATGAATTAATGTAGGTGTTTTTTTTTTTTCTAGATTGATTTATAGAATAAATATTTATTCAATTGTTGCTATATTGTATATATGGGGGGCTATAAGAGTGATAATTTTATATTTAAATCGAAAATACCATAAAACAGTGTACACATTAAAAATAATTTTTTTTTTTCATATTAAATTATCCAAAATAAATATATTTTGAAAATTAAATTGAATTTATTTTTTTCTTAAAATTTGAACTGATTGATTGATTCTAGATGATTTTTCCAGAATTATTTTAGATAATAAATTGTAATTAGTGGAATAGAATTAAAATTTTTTTTGTTTTTTGTTATAAAAATTACATAAGCCAAAAAAAAATATTGAAAAATACCTGAAAATTTACCTTGAAAATTCTAAATATCTAAAAAAAGAAAGAAAACAATTTCAAACAAATTGTCGTTTTTCTATTGAATTTGAAATTCTCTAGGCTAATTTATTAGACGATTTTTTTCTTCTCAAATTAGAGAAAAGAACTTCAAATTTATTATAGATTTATTTAGTGTTCAAAATAAATTTTCATTCCTTAATGTCAACATAGAATCTTAATTTGTTTATTTTAAGACATTTTGCAGAGAAAAAATTAAACGTAAACTGGAAAATTTATTGTATGTACAATATTAAAATTAAAAGAGAAATAGAATTAAGTGAGAAAAAGTATTAACACTTAACGCCAATACTTAAATGTAAATATTTATAAAAATATTAACAAAAAAAAAACTACTTAAGATCATAGGAATCCCCCAAATTTTCTTTTCATTTTTGATAGTTTTATATCGCAAAAAAATAACGAGACTGCTTTTAAGCATGAAATATAGAAAATAAAAAAAATTTATGTGATTAGCATATGACCGACCGCAATTTCTATGTTCTAGAACTTTTTCTGAAATTTTTATACCCGTACGAACGTATGTTCGAAGGGTATACTAAATTTGCCTTACCGTTTGTAACGCTAAGAAATAACGGTCTTAGATATAGACTCAAGTGTATGTTTTTGATCGGCGTCAAATTCTGAGTTGATTTAGCTTTGTCTGTCCGTCCGTCCGTCCGTCCGTCCGTCCCAACGATAACTCAAAAACTAATTGAGCTAAGTTCACCAAATTTTCACAAATGATTTATTGTAGTAAGTGCCAGAACCCTATTTAAATTGGACATGATCGGGGTACCGGTTCGGGTAGCTGCCATACAACTTCAAAAGTTATTTGGCTATATCTCAGAAACTATTAAAGCTATGATATTGAAATTTCACACAAACAAATATATTAGTAGGGCCAATGTGTCTCATAAAAGTCGTTGAAATTACTTGGCTCCTTCTGGTACCTGCCATACAACTTCAAAAGTTATTTGACTATATCTCAGAAACTATAAAAGTTATGGTATTGAAATTTCACACAAACGAATATATTAGTAAGGCCAATATGCCACATAAAAGTCGTTGAAATTACTTGGCTCCTTCTGGTACCTGCCATACAACTTCAAAAATTATTTGGCTATATTTCAGAAACTATAAAAGCTGTGATATTCAGATTTCACACAAGTGAATATATTAGTAGGGCCGATGTGCTTGATAAAATTCGCTAAAATTTCTTTGCTCTTTCTGGTAGCTGCCATACAACATCAATAGTAGTTTGGCACAACCAGTATTTTGAATAACACATAGTACTGAAATTTTGCATAAATTAATATGGTAATACGGCAACTTAAAGTCATAGTCTGCCCCATAGTTAGTTATGGCACATTAGTTATTCGCACATAGGATAACAAATTCGTACGGGTATCACAGAGTTGACAAGGTCAACTCTATTTTTTTTCTCGTTTCAAATAGATCTCTTTAGTGTAAAGCTTATTCAGTTTTACAAGTGTATATGAAATAGAGTAGAATTATTGAATCTTAAGTGTTATTAACATGCTAGTTTATACGCCCCCAAATAATCTAAATTTGGTTCTTAGCACGAATTCACTTTCTTCAAAGTTTATAAAAATAAAATTTTAGAGTTTTACAAAATGTACAAAATTCTCGAGTTTTACAAAATGTACAAATGAACATTTATTATTTATCATTAGTTTCTATCACAAATGTTGAAATATTTTGAATCCATTTAGAAGTTAAGTAATATTTATAGAAATCTATTTTATACTCTAAAATATTTTTAAAAAAAATTTATTATTTTAGAGCTGCCGGTAATAATTTACTTCTGGATCCAGATGCAGTATGTAATAAACCGCATCGTGTACGAGGAAAAATTGCAGAAATTTGCAAACATAAAACAACTTTATTAAAAGAAATAAAAAAAGGAATTAGTTTAGGATTTGGAGAATGTGAAATACAATTCAAATATAATCGATGGAATTGTTCAACTTTATTAAGAAGTATGAGAAAAATATTAATGAAAGGTAAACATTACTATAGTCAAAACAATTAGATTTTTATTTAGATGAAAAAATTATTTTTATTAAATACATAGAAACAAAAGAAGCTGCTTTTGTTAATGCTATAACATCAGCTGGTATAACATATGCGGTAACAAAAGCATGTACAACTGGTGCATTAGTTGAATGTTCTTGTGATAAAAATCATTTGAGACGTAACAAATATATTATAACGGAACCATTTGATGAAAGAAAAAATTCAATAGAAGAATATAAATATGAAAATCAAAGTACGAAACGTATTAGACGTAGAAAAGTGAATAATCGAGAGAAATTAAATCAGAATCGAAAACAGAGACGAGAAGAAAAATTATTAAAATCTTTAAAATTACCAGATGGTGATTGGGAATGGGGTGGTTGTGGTGATAATGTACAATTTGGTTTTAGAAAATCAAGAGATTTTCTTGATTCCCGATATAGACGTAGAAGTGATATAACAACATTAGTTAGACTTCATAATAATAATGCTGGACGTATGGTAAGTAAAATAATAAAATAATATAATAGAAAAGGACGTTTTTCCTTCTAAGTTCACAAATACAAGGTAACAAAAGTTCAATTCACTTAATGAAGAACTTAGAATGAAAAAGATCCTGCTCATTTAAATGATATTTAATTTTTTTTTCTATATTTATAGGCTGTTCGAGATAATATGCGTTTAGATTGTAAATGCCATGGTTTATCTGGATCATGTACAATGAAAACATGTTGGTTAAAAATGCCATCATTTCATGAAATTGGTACAATATTAAAAGAACGTTATAATAATGCATTAAAAGTTAGTTCACATAATGATGGTGATAAATTTATGTTAGAGAAACCAATTATTGGACAAAAAAATCGTATAACAAAATATGATATAATTTATACAGATATATCACCAGATTTTTGTGATTCAAATTATAAGACTGGATCATTGGGTACATATAAACGTGAATGTAATTTAACATCATCCGGTAATGATAATTGTGATACACTCTGTTGTAATCGTGGTTATATTTATCGAACAAATAATGAAAATATTAATTGTAATTGTGTATTTAAATGGTGTTGTGATGTTAAATGTGACATATGTCAACATAATAGAACAGTAACAATATGTAGATAATTTAAATATTATAAAATCATATGAATTATTATAATTATTTTTTATTATGTATATTAAAAAATTTTAAAATTAAATTTTATAATATAAGGGAATTAATGATATTTATATATAGTATAATATTTTAAATTTATTTAGTTTTTAATTAATTAACATAAAATTAATAAATTAACAATGAAATGTATATAATTATAATGTTCTATAATATAATAATTATTATTTAAAATATTATATTAAGAGTCTCTAATTGTGTGATATATTTTTAGCTCAAAAAAATAAAAATAAAATTGTATTATTTAAAAAAGTATAAAATTTGAATATGATTATTAAAAATAATATTTGTTATTAATTAAATTTTATTATAATTTTGTAAATATAATTGTATTGTATATATATATAAATAATATTAAAAAAAAAGAATTATTTTGAAAAATATTATAATAAAAGTAAAATTTTTGTAAAAATGATAAATTTTTAGACTTTCTGCGATATTTATATTAATAAAGTAAGCAAAATAATAAATAAAAAATAAATGGAAAAAATAAAAATTAATAAAGTTTTAAAAATTTAAAATTTAAATTACATTTGTGTATTAATAAATTTATAAAATATTTTTAAAATGTCTCTGAAATTTTTAATAGAATTTAATTGAATATTTTCATACAATTTATTTTTTAAACAAAATTTCATCCATTATACATATAATTTGATCTTTAATTGACCATACTCTGACTAAACCATTCAAAAATTGTATTTCTAAAAATTGTATAAAAAATTGATTTATAGCCCTTTTAGAGTGTTAGAATCAACAGAGTCACGAAATTTGCTTTATAGAATAAAATTTAATTACTGCCTAATAAAGGGAGAACATACATTTTATAAGAATCAGGAAAAAAACTTCGAGGCAACAATTTTTTTTTAAAATGACTACGCCGAATTTTACGTATCTGGTTAGGTATTATAAAGCAATATAAAAAAATGAATACTCGGATTTACGAGTATAATTTTTCTTACAATAAACAAATTCATGTAAACTTTCTTGCAATAATAATAAAGGAAAAACATTCTTAACATAATTGACGGAAAATTGAATAGCTATAAAAGAGAAACGAGTTTTGAAGCGAAAAATTTAAAGTCTTTTTTATTTTGAAAATTTTAAAGTCTTTTTTATCCAAAATGGATTTTATTCCATAAAAGTTTTGGTTTCTAAGCAGACTATAAAATATCGAAAAATTGAGAAGTAGCTATGTATTTTTTCGAAATATATTCGAAACTCGAATGTGAGAGATTTAATAAGCGATACTATGTGGAAAACGAGAAATAGCTAGATTTACATTGGCAAGTAATGTCAGAATCACTTGGTTTTTCGCAAATGCAATGAAAAATTAAAAAAAAATATACAAAAAATTTTAAAAATTAAAAACAGAAAAAGGGTTTTTTTTTTTTTTTACCACACTAAATTTGAATTATAGACCTTATAAAGTTTATGAAATTTATTTATAACTTTCAGTTTATTTTTAAAGTTTAATGGTCATCATATCATATATATGTATCTAGTTCATATTATTTACACATTTATATACGTATGTATACATTATGTATTCAAAGTCATGGTACCTAAATGAATATTTTCAACAAAAATGGCCAGTTAAAAGTTTTAAAAATATATTATTGTTATATTGTTGCTGTTGATGGCCCTTTATTATTCCTCATATTATGATGAAAATGGAAAAAAAAAATTATATTTTTCCCTTTTCTTTTCTTCTGGAAATCCAGGCTTAATATAAATGTTCATATTATGTATATGTTTAACTGCTGTTGATGCTGCATGTTCTTTTATTATATTTAATTTTTTCACTTTTTGACTTGTAATTATCTTCGTTGGTGTTCTTCACGCCTCAAAATTGCTCAGGAATTTTTTTTTTTGAATACACGTATACACATTTATATTATACACACATACATATATTGTTTTTTAAATTATAGAAAAAAAAAATTCAAAAGCAAAATCTTCTTTTCCTTCATTTTTTCAATAAAATATTGAGAAAAGAATTTCTTTTTTTTAACTTTTTGTAAAAATTATAAAAAAAAAAAAAAATATTTTGAAAAAAATAAAATTATAAATGGTGGACTTTTAAGAAACTTTAATAACAGCCAACTTTGAGAAAAAAAAAGTGAGAGCAGCACATGATAGAATGCATTCAATATTTTCCAACTGATGTTGAAAATATTAATAAATCTCGCTCGTGGCTAGTAGTATCTAGTAAAAGGTTCTGCTTTTGGAATCTAGTGTTCTTCAAAAAGTTCATTGGTTTACCCCATTCACAATTATTAATGTAGGCGAGATGTCAAACACTTAGAGGATTTTTTGGTCATTCATTTTAATATTTAATCAAATATTGGAAATTGAAACAAAATATGAACAATGTTATTAATTTGTAAAACAAATTCGAATATGAATTAGTTTTATAAAAAAAAAGATCGGCTAAAAATTTGTTAGAAACAGAAATACTAAGGAACAGGAAGAAACTAAGCAAGTTGAATTTGTTTTTGCAATTCTGACTGCAAGAGATCTTTTTAGTTAAAAATGCAGTGCCGTAGAACTACTAAAGTAGCGCTGCCAACAAAAACTCTGATTTTAAAAAGTTTGATTTATGTTCTCTACTAATTCAGTTCTCTATTGATTGAGGTTATGGCTATAAAAGTAGCAAAAAATATTATGCTGTCAATTTTAAAGAAGACTCTTTACAGTTCTATCAACAAAAACGGGATTCTTTTTGTAGGAAACTACAAAAATGTGCTATACCATTGCAGATCTTTGTTAGAACTGCAAACGCGAATTCAAACACAGCCAATATCTTGCTTAAAACAGTGTTGTCGGGTTTTCATTTCTCAAAAGAGGGGATCATTAAATTCCTGCCGAAATTTCAATATAAGAAATATAATTCGAAAACAATACCTTCCTTATTGTATGCTATATATATGATCAATAAAAATAAACCATAACCAAGCAAATAAAAATATAAAAAAAAAATGTTATTTTTTAAAGTAAAACCCAAAAAATTTTGCTTCTTTTTACACCTTTTTATAGATGTAAACGATTAACAATAATATTTTTATGTATATATACACGGTCGTTCATGTAATATTTTCCAATATTGAGTGTCCAGAGGGTTGTCTTACCTGCATCATATCAACGTTTAAAATAACATTACTTATGTACATACATATGTAGCAATAATATAATAGCAGTAATAAAAGCAACAAATTGCATACCACGGCGAAAATTTTTATTTTTAGTTTTCTTTTTCATCGCTTTTTTTTTTTGTTATTTAGTTTTTAAAATGTAAATATGAACTATATATATTGTGTGTATGTATGTTTGTATGTATGTATATAATATGGTTCTTTCTAATATAACATTTTCTGTTTTTAATGGAAATAAACCTGAGGCAAGACAGGAAATGATTAAGTTAAAGGTAAATGTAGAAACAAAATAAAAATTCCATTTAAAAAAAAAATTAAAAAAGAAAATAAAAACAAAATTTGTGATTTATTTATCATAATGTATACATACATACACATATACATAAGTATATATGTATTATGTACTAATAAAATTTAAGTTGCTGCACAAAATTTTATATTTTTAGGTCATTTGTATATGCATATATGAGTAATTCATAATTAATATTTCTTATATCCTTATATTAAGTGTTATAAAGAGTTGTTTGAAAAATTAATTCTGTAAATTTTCAATATCTGGCATAAATAGTACATAATATCAGACAATTAGCATTGTCTAATTTTGCGTTCATTTCTTTCTTCATTCACATTTTACAGGTAACAGAACAACAATTAGAAAAATTATATAGCCAAATTCCTATGCTCGTTATTTCAAAAAAAATTCGTTGGCATTACGATTATCAGTGAAAGGGAGGCAGTCGTAGACGTAAATATACTTTTTATCTAAAATAGGTCCAGCATTCGATTTTATTGCAGTTGGAAATCTAAAACACTTGCATTAAAGGCAACAATAACGCTAATCTAAACCTTGCTATTCTCAACTGTTGTACCAATAATTTCAAAAAATTTGTTTATTTTTGAAAACTGTTGGAGAAATCAGTACTGAATAAATTTCAATCAACCATTAAAAGCAATAAATTTCATACTAAATCATTAATTAGAGTAGTACTATCGCTCATACATGGCATTGCCTTTCGAAATTTTTAACTTTTACGTAAGGATGAATGCTATTCTGCAAGGATAAAAAATTTAACTTTACCAGCCGAATTGTGCCATTTCTGAATATTTTGCATTTATTGTATATGTATTTTGTACTTTGTACAGGTATTCACATTAAAATTGATGTGAAACGGAAATTTTAGGTGGAAATGGACAGTTTCCTATGCAATATAAGAATTTCATAAATTAACAAGAAAAAGTGAAATATAAAATATAATCCTGTTTTTACTTCTATCGCCTGATTTCCGACTGGATTAATAAAAATTTGGGAGAACCCATTCCAAATAACAAAAAAGTTCAATGAATTATCAAAGTAACCAAAAATATAGAACAGATAGAATAAAGAAGCAGTCACGCAATTCCGAATAAATTGTCTATACCTACCTAAAGATTTCGTTTATCTTAATTAAAATACAAAAAAAAAGCATTTTTTATATCTAAAAAGTAAAGTTCCTATAAATTAGTTGTGTTTTTTTTGTGTGCGCTACCAAAATCACTAAAAATACAAATTTATTAGTTTTTTATTTATTATTTTGCAAAATGTGTCTTTTAACGATATGACAAAATCGCTTCCTAATATTATTATTTGATTTTATTCTACCTCTCAGTTTTTTTTTTATTTTATTATTTTAATTTTTTTTTTCGTATTTTTATAATATTTATATAATAAAATACTAAACACGACTTTAAAATCCAATATAATTTTTATTATTTTACACAGAGTTGCTTTAATGGATCATAAAATTCGGTGATATATA